CTCGTTTTATCATTTATCGGTTTTAACCGGTTTATCGATTTATCGATTCAAACCGATATATAACCGGTTCCAATTTTCATAACATGAATAAAACCGGTTTCTAAAATTAAAACTGGTTCCAACCTCTATAATATATCAATATCGATAAAGTAATTCTTCAGCTCTTATTTTATTATTATATTGAATCTCTAATCTCTTTTTAATAGAAAGATATGGCATTACTTTTTTAGATTTATTTTTTGAATTATATCTCAATGAATTATATAATAGACAACTTTGATAAGTTTCATAAATTCCAGTATAACATATACAGAAAGCTTAACATATATCATAAAATTTTAAAATAAGTCTTTTAATTTTTTCTAATATTTTTTTAATCTTATATAAACTAATGTTTTTATTAGTAAATAATTTAATAATATTATTATATACAGCTTCCGTAAAATTATATAATGATTTTAAATGCAAAAGTTTAAAGCCTTCTATAATTTCTTTACTTAATCCTTCTTTAATATCAACTTGTATTATATCATCTATATCTTTATCTTTATCTTCATTATAATTATCATTATTTTCTTCATCATCGGTTTTATTAATATTATAATCTTCATTATCTTCTTCTGAGATTTTTTTACTCGTAGATAAATATTCTATTTTACTTAAATTTGCTTCATCCATTTAAATATCAATTTCATTTATATTATCTAAATATTTCTTTAAATTTTATTAATTAATATTATGTAATAAATAAAAATAAAATATTAAGTAAATTATAATTTATAATACTTACTTCATTATTTTTAAAATTTAAATTTATATCTTTTTTTTTAACATTTTCTTGTTCACTATTGCTTAATTCCTCTTCTATTGACATCTGATTTCTTTTCCAATGTCTATAATAAACACTTTTTGTTACAAAATTACTATTTGAATAATTTTTTAAACAAAATAAACATTTGCATAAATGTAAGTTTTCATTCATTTTATAATAAAATTAATTAAAAAATTAAAAATATTTTGCAGTTAAGAATTAAAAAATTAAAAAATGTTTTGCAATTAAGAAAAAAAATGTATAAGCAATAAATTACAAGATATATATACAAAAAAATCATTCTTTTATTTTAAAAGAAAACTTTTTATTCGATTTTTTGGCCTTTCAGTTATCCTTTTGCTGATTATTTGATTATTTTTTCGCCAATTATTCAGTTATTTTTTTGGTCATTTTATGTATACAATTTTCTGAATTAGGATTTAAATTTTAATTGCAAACTGATTTATGCATAAATTATAAAGTATATTTAATTTATACAAGTTAATATATAAAATTTTTTTATTTTTACTCAATTATATTAAAACTTTTTGCTTAATTTTACTTTATATATCAAAAATTAGTAAAATGATTTTCATTTAAAATATTTATTTTACAAGTTTAGCTATAACAAATTAGTAAAAATAATTTCATTTAAAATATTAATATTTATACGAGTTTAGTTTTCTAAAATTCAAAAAAATATATATATATTTATTTATTAGGTAATAATTAAAAAATAAATTTTTTTTTGAAATTCATAAAAAAATGTATTTTTAAAAAAAAAAAATTTTTTTGATCCTTCCATCAAAAAATTTATTACAAAAAAAATTTACACATTGAATATTATTTAAAAAAAAAAAATTAATCCAGTAGCATGTAAAATAAAAAATTAAGTTGCAGAATATTGATAGTAATATACAAAGGGTAGACAAAAGTTTCCAAACACCTTTATAAATGCGATTTAAAAAATTTTCATCATATAATTGTGATACCATACTGCGGTCATATGACCGTCTATTGTTTATTTACATAATCAAAATAAAAAAATTCATTTTTTTGTTGTTTTGATTTAATTCACTTAATCTCTATCAAATCGAAAAATAATAGGACAAAATAAAGAATTAATCAAAGAACAACACAGAGTCATATTTTACTTAGCCAGCCCAAAGTTCTGATCTTAATCCAATTGAAAATTTATGGGCTGATATTAAAAAAAACATTCGTGCACATTTAAAAACTACCATCAAATCTTGCTGACCTCAACCGATATATTAAAAAAGCATGATGAGAAATTCTGATGCATACTATTGAAAATTTAGTCAATAAAATACCACAGCGAATTCAGACTGTGATTGCGGCAAAAGGACCTCCAACCAAGTACTAAAAGTTTAATACAAAATGTATGCCTTAACCAGCTCTTAATAAAATAATATTAGAACTTTACTATTAATGCTAAGGAATTATAAGTTTTATATTTGGTGAAAAAGTGTTCAGAAACTTTTGTCCACCCTCTGTAGTAAAAAAATAATTAAATTAAAATTAAAATAACTATAAATAACAGCTTTTTTTTGCTTTGGCATTGGTATTAACATTGGTTTTAGTGATGGTAATGGCTTTGGCTTTAGTGATGACATTAGCTTCTTTTAGCTTTAGAGTTAGCATTAGGTGTAGCAATAATATTCAGCTTTTTTTTTAACTTTGGTATTTAGTGTTAACATTGATGTTAGCTCAGACTCTAACATTGGCATTAGCATTAATGATAGAGGTAGTATTGGCTTTTTTTTTGAGGTAATATTGGTAATGGCATTGGTGGCATTGGTTTTTTTTGAGATAGCATTAGCATTAGTATTAGTTTTGATAGTAGTGATATAGGCTTTGGCTTTAGTTTTGGTGATAACATCTATCAGCTTTTTTTGGCTTTAGCATTAGCGTTACATTGGCATTAAAGGTGGCATTGGCTTTTTTTAAACTAGTATTAGTATTAGTGCTAATATTAGTACTAACATTAGTGCTAACATTAGTGCTGGCATTAACGCTGACATTGACGCTAACATTGATACTGATATTAGCGCTGACATTGATACTGGCACTAATACTAGCATTAGCGCTGATATTGGCATTGGTATTGGCATTGGCACTAGCATTGGCTTTTTTTGGAAAGGCATTAGCATTGTTGGTGATGGTGTGGTGGCATTGGCATTAGCATTATCTAAAATATAAAAAAATTATTAATTTTTAATTTTTTAAAAAAATTCTATTAAATAAACATTTTATTGTTAATTTTAAAATTCTTATTTTCATGGTGGTCTTCTATTAAATGATGAGCAATTTTTTATCATATGACCACTCGTTGACTAACATTTAAAATAATAATTTCAATATCTTTGTGGAATATCAGGATATTGACTAATCTAATAGCCTAACCTATTACAATAGCAACAAGTAATTGATGAATTATAATAATTTCAAAAATGATTAGAAATAATTAAAAATTATAATAATAATGTAAATTTATTAAAATATTATTATTTACCTTATTAATTAATTTAAATTTAATTGTATTAATAGTAATGGTAGTTATGGTAGTAATGTTGTAATTGTGACAATAGTGGTAATAGTAATGTTACGTTTGTTTCTGTTAATGTTGATAAAAATGATAGTGATAGTAATGGTAATGGTGATAAAAGAGAAAGGAAAGGTAAAGGTTTATTAATTGTAAAGACTGTGTATAAAATAATTGTAAAAAATGTAATTGTAATGGTATTAAGAATTTCGATAATAATAACGTATTTCTGTATGTTTTATAATTATATTTAAAAATTTTATGATACATTTTAATAATTTTTTTTAAAATGAATTTTGGTATTTCATTTTGGTCTTTGGAATTTTTGTTAGACATTTTTAAAATTTTTAAAATTTAAAAAAAAAGGAAAAAAAAAATTTTCAAAATTTATTTTTTCTTTTTAAATAAAGTTTTAAGAAATAAAAAAATATGTTTAAATCTTTTATCAAGAAAATCTAAAGGCTGAAAAAATACTTACATGAAATTGGAATAATTTTTATCAATATGATCAAATGTATACCATAAAAAGAAATCACTCAATTGATAAATTTCTATAAGAAGAATAAGTCTTTGATTTTTTTAAAAATAAATTTTAATTTTTTGATAATACAATACATAGATTTATAATGAAAACTTTTACATAATCAAATTTACTTTGAGAAGAAATAAGTCTTGATTATTTTAAAAATAAATTTTGATTTCTTGATAATGCAATACGATGAGAACTTTTGTACAATTAAATTTACTTTAAAAGAAAACAAATTTTGATTTTTTTTAGATTTTTTGATAATGTGACACATAGATTTACAATGAAAACTTATGCATGATCAAATTTACTTTTAGAAAAAATACGTCCATTATTTGATTTTTTAATTTTAGTTTAAAAATATAAATTATTAATAATCAGAAAATTACTGATTATAAATCCTATTTTATTCTTAACTTAACCTGATATTTTCCTGATATTTCCATTGTTTTCCATTGTTTAACTATAATTAATGTCAATCTTAACCTGATCAAAATTTTGATTATTTTTTATTAAGGTAGCTCTATTAATAACTGTAATACAAAAATAAATTTTTGATTGCATAGATTATCGCATGGGTTATCACGTGGGTAAATTTTCAAAGTTTATGTGATTATTTTCAAAAGATTTAAACAAAAACAATATTAGATCTATATATATGATACTATGCTATTTTTTACACTATTTTTTTATGAGATTTTTTTGCTATTTTTTTACGCTATTATTTATACATTTTGCTATTTCTTTTTATGCTGCTATTACAATGAAATTACAAGAAAAACTTAATCAAATACAAAATTTTCTTAAAGAAATTGTTCAAAACAATAATATTACCATTTTAAATAATAATCCTTGTATTTTAAAACCAACCTAATGATATATTAGTAGTGCTAAAATTTTGGAAATATTTAACATATTGAAAGACGAATTTAACAATATATTGGTAAGAATTTAATAAATATATTACTAGTTTATTGATTTATCTCTTTTAAAGTCAGAAGTACGCTTTATATGTTGGCCTTAAAAATTGACTTTACTATTAAATATAAAAATTATGATATAAGCCATATTGCAAAAGTTATTAAAAAGGTATATTATATATAATTATTTAATAATTAAAAAATATTAATTATTATTTTGAATTTTTTAATAGTTTAAAAAAAGAAATAAAAATAAACAAGTAGGAGAAAATAGTTGGCTAATAAAAGAATATGTAAAAAAACATCTGCAACATAAATATAATTATAACGTTCACAAAGATAAGCAACTTCAAAAAAGCAGATAAAGTATTAGATACCAAAAATTTTATTTTTCTAATATTCAAATTAGAATCCAAATATAATATCTAAATTTTATTTATTTATTAAAAAAAAATGCAGCTAATGCCAATGCCAATACTATCATCACCACCACCAATACTAGTATTACTAATACTAATGCTAATACTAGTGTAAGTGCTAATGTTAACGCCAATGCTAATGTTAGAGATAATGTTAGAGCTAAAGCCAATATCAAAACTAAAGCCAATACTAAAACCAGTATCATCTCTAATGTTAGTAAAAAAGCAAGACTTTCAAAGAATTATTTAGGTAACTTTTAAATTATTATTTTTAATATATAATAATAAAAATTCTTAAAATTAATTAATATTAAAACAAAAAAGAAAATGAAAGTGAAGCCAATACCAATAATGAAGCCAGTGAAATCAGCATCACTTTCAGCATTACTTTCAATCCCAATGCAAAATTTAATTTATCTTATGATAAAAATTTAGATAAAACAAAATTCTTATTAATTCACTATATAAATGATAATTTTTATATTAACTTTATATTAACAAATATTAAAGAAAAAGAAAATGAAGATTCAATTAATAAAAATAAAAAAGGTAAGAAATTTATTTTTTTTTTTTTTACAAATTTATAATACTCATTTTTTTATATTTATTTTAATTAATTTATATTAAAAGAAATATTACAAAAAAGAACAAGAAGTAGCAAAAAGAGAAAAATTTAAAAAATATTGATTTTTTAAATTTTTTTTAATTTCTATTTTTTTTTTAATTTTTAAATTTTTATTATATTAATAAAATCTAAATTGTTTAATTAAAGCATATAAAATATACGTTTTATCCATGATTTTTGCATCTGTTAAAGTATTATAAAATATACATTTTTTCCTTATTTTTTTTTATACATTTTTTTTCATTTTTTATATTAAGTTTATGGTTTTTATTTAAGGAAAAAACATATACATAATACTGAAATTCCATAAAAATTATACATTATAAAACTTAATATTTTTATGGAATTTTTATATCAAATTTTTTATTAGGCTTTATTCTTCTCATTTTCATAATTTTAACATCATTATATTTATAAGTTATCTATTATTTAATTACTCTTTAAAGTTTTATCACTATTATTATAATTTCTTTTAAATCTTCAATTTTTGTATTAGTGGTATTCTTCTTTACTTATATTATCTTTAAATTCTAATTATTTTTCTTATATTATATCTAGTGGTTTTTTATCTTTTTATCATCTTCATTAAATTCTTATTCTTCATTTCTATTTAATTTTATAATTATCAGTAGAATCTAAGTCTTCTATAATCTTTTTTCTCTTCATTTTTATAATTCTTCATTATTATTATTTTTGTATATTTTTGTGATTGATTTTATTATTATCCTTAATTTCATTTCCTAATATTTCTAGTTATCTTTATATTTTCTTTATTACTTGATATTCTCTATTTTTTCTTTTCCTATTTTCATTATCATTAAACCTCTATTTGATTATTTTATTATTATTAATTTTCTAATTTTCTGTAATAAAATATTAATTAAACAAGTATTTTAACATAATTTCTGTTAATCAATTTTATTCAAGTATTCATTCAATATACTTTTGTATTCACTATTAAATACAAATGTTCATTTATTTTAAAAAAATGAATATTTATTATTTCATAATTAAAGTATTAGAAGATTAAGATTATTCTTCTTTATATAGAGAAATTCTATTCTATTTATATAAATTAATGTAGATAATTTCTATAAATCCTATAATTTCCTAATTTTCTATTTCTATAATTTCTGCAATTTTCTATATTTCCTTTCAACATTTCTGTTATTTTCTAATTTTCTTTCTGTAATTTCTGTAAAATCCTTTCTAAATTTTCAGTAATTATTTTTATTTCTTATTATATTATCTAATATTTCTAATGTTTTTATTTTAATTTATCTATATATTTTATTATTTCTAATTAATTATTCCAATAATTCTGTTATTTCTATTAACTATATGATGTAATTATGATATTATATTTTCTTTTTGAAATTTTTTTGTTATCTTTATTTGAAAATTGTCTAACATTAAGTAATTTGCTTTATTCTTTTTCTTCAGTAAATAATTTATCTTTTCTTTGATAAGTAATTTATCTAATTTTTATTTAAATATTTATTTATTATAACCTTTTATTTAACCAAACATTTCTTTAATTATTTAATTGAAATATTATTTGATATCAGTTTTGTGAATTCTTGATTTTGCAGTCTTAACTATAAATTTTAGCAATAATATAATATTTTTTAATTTAAATAATAAATTTTAAAATAATTAATTATTAGAAACTAAATGCTTTTAAAAAATCAAATAATAATATATATTTATAATATTTAAATTTATTATTTTTCAAATTTATTTTAAAAAAATATTAATTTTATAAGAACAAAATTTTGATGATATTTCATTACAAATATCAAATAAATCTTATTCTACAAGTAATTAAAATTAAGTTTTAAGATTTAAATTTTAAAATTAAAATTATTTTATTTAATATATATAAACGCTTTGCAGTAGAAAAGGAAAAAACTACCAAAAAATTATTTACTTTATAAGCTAAATATTTTTTTTTTAGTAAAATAAATCCAGATTTAACATTAACTCAAAAAAATTTTTTTGATAATTTCCTCCCTTTCTACTACAAAGCATTTATATATAGGAATTATCTAAAATTAATAAAATAAGGGAAAAAATAAGAAAATTAATATTGATTTAATGAAAGAAAATAAAAATATTAAATAATGATATAATTATAAATAAAAATAAAAAAGTAAGTAATAAAATTTATTATTTAAAATTTAAAATAATTTTAATAATTTTATAAATAATATAAATAAATATTTAGATATAACTAAAATTAAAAATAATTAAAAACTTTACTTTTGATAAAGATCATAAAATTTTTTATCATAAAGGTTAAGTAAATACTATATTTTAGGAAGAAATAATGAATAATATTTAAAATTATTTGGATATAATAAAAATCTTAAACCTTTTATTACAAAAAAAAATACTTATAACATTAAAGATATTAGTTTATTAAAAAAAATTTTCAAATATATCTAACTGACAAATTAAATATTTGAAAATATAAACTTTCTAATTGGTTAAAAACTTTATGACAATAAAATAATAATGAAGAAAAAAGAGAAATTGAATCACAATCATATGAACAACTATAGGTAATTTAAAATATATATTTACAGTAGCTCGCAAAAGTAATGCACCAAAGTTTTTTAAATGGTAAATCATGTGTTTATCAATCAAAACAAACCTGTTTAATCTAATTTTTTTAAAATAAACAATATAGGTATTGATATCATATGAAGTCAATCTTACTGTGTTATAAAGATTAATGAATGATTAACATTATTAACATCATTAGCATTTTTAATTTAATTAATATTTCTATTTTATTTATTTTATTTATATATTATATTATTATTATTTATTATATTATTATCATCATTAAATTGTAATTTATCTTTTATATTTATCTTATCATTATAAAATAGTTTAGCGTTAAATAGCAATTTCTTATAATTGTATTTTTGTATAAATAGGATAGAAATTTGTCCTTACAAAAAGGCAGAGATAACAGTATAAACTCAATAGTTTAAATTCAAGACTTAGAATCCAAGGTTAAGGATTGCTAAGGATACAAATCTCTACAATAAAGGAATCTCTTTCTAAAAACTACACATATTAAAAATCCTTTAACATATTAATTATGTTTATCGTGTTTACAAATTGTTAAAGTTATTTACTCATCTAAAAGAATAAACCTAAGGTTGATTGTGATAGGACTTATTTTACAATAACTTAGTAGTTTCTCGCACATTACTCTCTGTTATTAAGTTATAGTTACTCTAAGTTTGATAAGCTGAGTGTGAGGTTAACAAATTGGTAATTCTTATCAGAATTATAATTATCTTTATTAAACTTATATGAATATACCTACTAGTTTTGACATTCTAAAAATAATCCAAAAATATTATAAAGAAGTATACAGAAATAATTCACCTTTAGAAAAAGACGCATTTTATATATAGTACAATCCTATTAATCAACAGTAACAAAGAATTTTAAAAACTTTTGAAATTAGATCTCTAGTGAATATAATATTACAGCATTCAGTGATTGTTCTTTAATAGCATTTAAATTTTATTTAAATAACTATTATGAAAATGCTCATAATAGTAATAAAATAACAAAAGCAGCAGTCATGTTATTATATTATTTAAATTATTACTTATATCCTGCTGATTTATCTTTCATTTTACAACATTTATTATTTTAGTTACCTACACTACTAAGTGTTTTGAAAATCTTTTAATACTTCTATCTTACCCCTTATTTTCACATATACAACCTCTGAATCAACTGAATACTGAACAGTTAAAGAACCTTATGGATCACATAACGAAAAGTTTTAAAGATCTTGCTAAAGATATCAAAAGTATACCATCTGGTTTAGGTAGAAATAGTAGAAATCTTATATCAAAAGATAGTAATATTATTATGGTAACGCTTTTCTATGGAAATGATGATAAAGACTCTAATAATTAGATTAGAAACTTTGAAATTGCTGCTGAAGCAAATAATTGGTCTAAAGCTTGCATGCTGAAAATTGTATCAGGATACTTGTATGAACTAGCTGCATATTGGTTTGAAGAAAATAATGATACTATTAATCGATGGAATAAAGATAGTAATACTGCCACAAGTTTTGTACTATTATTTTTAGAAAAATTCTCAACTGAAGAGAAGCAAAATCTATGATACCATTAGTTAAATACACTTCACTAAGGACTTTATAAAAAATTAGAATTTTATGTAGGAAAATTTAAAAGATTGTTAAAGAAAGTTGAATCTTCTAGTACTTTACTAAACAAATATACTGTGAGACTTTTTCTTAATGGATTAAGGAAGAATATCATTCCTTTTGTAGTATTTTCTCATTCTAAAAATGTAGATGAAGCTATTGAAGCAGCTAAACAAGTTGAAAGTGGTCAATATTATGAACAACAATCTCCTGTACTAACTCAAACAAGTGAAAGTAATAATACTATCGATAATTTTACCAAACAAATGAAACAGTTATCCTTAAACAATGCAACTCTTCCCAATGTGTTATCTATGCAATTTGAAGGAAAATCTGAAAGAAGAAAGCCAAAAGATGATAGAAATCTTATAAAAGTTTGGGATAAAAAGGATGTTATTTATTTCCATTACTAAGAAAAAAAACATTATTCAAAAAAATGCATGTTTGAAAAACTGGTGTATCAAAGAAAATCTGATAAAAGAGAAGCTAGTTATGTTAGAGTTTATACTAATAGGAAAGAAGAGGAAGTTGAAGAAGTAGAGAAGGAAGAAGATATACCTTCTCACAAAATAAACCCTATACTATCAATAGAAAAACTGCTCAATAGTTAGAAGTAGAAAGGAAAAGACAATCTGAATCCAGAAGAAAATTAAACTTGAGAAGCAGAAAACCTATTAATGAATTTATAGAAGTAGAAACCCCACAAATTATTACTCCTACTCTAAAAAAGAAAGTCAAATGAGGACTATTTTAAATTGATCAAATGCCATTCTATAATATTATGAAGGATTTATTACAAATCTCTTCTTCTGCAAAAATTGGTCAACTTTGCAATATCTAAATTAAAGACGTTGTTAGTGATAATCCGTTTGTATCACTAAATGACTGCGCTAATTAATATAACTAATGATCACCAGAAAAATCATGATCATCATTTTCACTGCTATCACGGTTATCATTGTGATATTTATTTTCTTTATTATTATGTTTATCAT